CGACGAATGGGCCGTGTTCGTTGCAGCGTGGGTCGCGAGCTACCGAGAGGCTTCTGGTAAGTTCGGGAATCTGTCAACCAACAGCCAGCAGCCAGGGATCGTATGCAATGCGAGGCGAGTTTCCTCCTGGATTGAACGGGTCTAAGGCACCAATGTCGGCCCGTGTAGTTTATATCTTCTTGATAGGAGCACAGAGTGTGGGCGGGGCCCGTATCTCATTATTACCTTATTACATATCAGATTGTTGGATTGTTATACTTGTTGTCTGTGTGATACCTGTATGTGTTGTTAGGAATGTGAGTATGGACGAGGCTCGTATCTCATCATTACTTGAGTGTGGGCGAGGCCCGTATCTCATCATTAGCTGAGTGTGGGCGGGGCCCGTATCTCATCATTATTTGAGTATGGTTATTGGTATGTTTGGTAGGTTGTGTACTTGTTGTCTGTATGATACTTGTATGTGTTTGGTTAAGTATGTGAGTGTGGGCAGGGCCCGTATCTCTTAGTTAGCTGAGTGTGGGTGGGGCACGTATATCATAGAGTGTGGGCGGGGCCCGTATCTCATAGAGTGTGGGCGGGGCCCGTATCTCCTATTTGTATGATATGTGTGGTATGTGGTAGTTTGGGAAACTCACTAAGCTTCGTGTTTATGGTTTACAGTTTTGGTTTCAGGTACTTCGGTTTTCAAAAGAAGAGCTCGGGATAATTGCAGAGCACACACCATATGTTTTCTGCCTTGGATGTTTTACTCTGATTTTTTTTTAGAACGGCAGAGTTAGATTATGTTAGTGGTTTCAGTCGTGCAGTGGCATCCAAGCGGGCAGTATGCCTTTCCCGAACCTTCACCCATGAGCAGATACCCTATTACCCCTTTCCCCGCTTCACCTATGGAAAAGCCTCCAAGAAGTCTCGAACCCGATACCTCCCAAAGGAAAACCACCCAGGCAACCCTGGTGGCCAATTGATCTAGACCAGTTACTCTGATTTTACAGAAACTGATACATTGATTTTTATGTATACGTTTGGATGTCATTGACAAATACCCTTTTATCTATTATTAAAAAAAGAAAATTTTGGGACCACATTTTATGTATGTTACAGAGATATTGAAAATGAAAGCTGGCGGCTACAATGGAGAAGATTTGAAGATTTTTTTCGCAATTAAAGAAATTATCCGAGTGAAATATAGAAATATGGAGTAGTTTTGTATGTTTTGAATTTTTATGTTTTTTTTTGTCTTTTCTTAATTAATGTATTGTCTTTTTTTTAAATGAATGAAGAACTACTTTAATAAAATCTATGTTTTTATTGTATTTTTATTTAATTTTAAATAAAAATGATATGGGATGGTGTTTAGAGGTATGTATATCAAGTGTTTAGTGGTTTGATGTGGTCATGAAATATCACTCACTATATTAGTGTTTAGAGGTATGTATACCAAGTGGTTAGTGGTTTGATATGGTGATAAGATAGCACTCACTATATTAGTGATGCGATACAGATATGTGAGGTGTATTAATTTTTTAAGTATATAAAAAATAAATACATAAATAAGAAAAATAATTAAAAAATAATAATAATTGCATAATAGTCTTTTTAGATAAGACAGAGACCAAACGCGCAACAAAAATAAACAGTAGGATCGTCCGAGTTAAAAACAATAAGTTATGGACCAAACATACAAATTCCCCCAAACCAAATGGACCATTCATGTAATTTACTCTTACTTTTCGTTCTGTTCATATTTGGATAACTATTTATTTATACACATCTAGGTAACGAATTTGTTGAAAGTGTTCATATACGACCATTATGACCTACCAATAAGTTATAATGGTCATACGTAAACACTTTCAATAAGTTTATTATCTAAATATATAAAAAAAGAATAATAAAATAAAATAAAAAAATAGTTATTTCGAACAAACCGAAAAAGTTAATATATTCCCGTTATATTAATAAAATTTAAGAAAAGGTACCACTAGCCAATTGCGGCTCTGCTAAAACGCACCGCCGAAAGAATCGATCACCGGAAGTCCGGAACCTCACACCGTCCCAACAATGAGAGCCATCGCCGTTGCCGCCGCAGCAGCGACAGATAAAGCTATACGTCTTTCTGGAAGACGTTATTCTCACTCGTTTTCTTCAATTCGTGGCTACTCTATCATGATCTCGACACACCTTAACAACACCACTGTAACTCATTCTCAGTCGTCGACTTACTCCGCCGACCGCTGTTCTCCGTCTCGCCAACTTCTTGCCTTCCCATGGTCCGTCAATCAGATCCGATTCGCCAAAGCTCGCGGCTCCGATGTGAGTTCTTCCCTTTGTGTTGCATCTTAACAAATTAGAAACCTTTATGATTGAGCTTCATGAACATGACTTGATTTGCCTGATTGAAATCACTCTCTGTTCGAATGATTCTTACTTCCTGATAATCAAGCTAACGTGTATATAAAATTAAACTCGCAAAATTCATCTGGTATCTACGTTAATCTCAAATCAATTCGCGGAAGTCCGAATATCTCCAAGTCCTTTCCCTAACCCTAAAATGCGAGTCTTCTGGCAAATCCACTGATTTAGTGTTGAAGTTATTACATTCTTCAAAATCGAATTCATGACTGATTATAGCATATGGAGCATCAACATACTTAGGGCTTAACAATTAACAAAACACCCAATCAATTCATAATTCAGAGCTAATCATCTGTGCAGGTGAGACCAGGAAATGTCATTGAAAGGAAAGGTTTGTCTTCCATTATCTTTCTACTTCTACACTCATTGACAAAGATTCACATATAAACTCATTCAACTCCTTCTACCTTGTTCGTGCGCTTTCATCTACTCCAGGAAAAGTTTACCAAGTAATCTTTTTCTAATCTCTATCAACTTATTCACATTTAAAGCAACTCTTTGTGCCTGTATGTATTAAGAGCTTGTACTTATGATCTAGATTGTGAAAGCTCAACATTCTACTCAAGGAAGAGGAGGTGCTATCATACAGGTTTTTATGAAAACCTCCATAAGTTTATTTATCTTGTAATATTGATTTATGATTCTTTTTTATAATATTGTGTTTGTATGTTTGTTTGTTCAGGTTGAGCTTCGTGATGTTGATAGTGGAAACAAAGTCAATGAAAGATTTCGTACTGATGAAACAGTTGAAAGTAAGCATTTTTAACACAATAAAAAACATTTAATAGTGTTCTCACTTCTCATATCTGTTAATTGTTATACAGAAATATTTGTTGAAGCCAAATCTTTCACATACCTATACACAGATGAAGAAACTGACAGCATTGTGTTAATGGAGTAAGTTTTTCTTTTTCCATTTTTTTTTAAAACTTAAATCATTTTACCATGTTTCTCAATTCTCATATGTTTATTTTTTTTTTATCAGACCTAAAACTTTTGTCCAATTAGATGTGCCCAAACATCTATTTGGCGACTCTCTTCCATATTTAAAAGGTCCTGATTCATAAACCAATATCTTGTTTTCATTATTTTAACAATTTGTTTTACTGATTTTTTTTTTTTTTAAATTGTCTTGATAAACAGATGATATCACAGTTTCTGTGGAACTTTTTAATGATAGGCCTATGTCAGCATCGGTACCTAAACGAGTGACATGTACTGTGGTGGAAGCACAAGTCCCTATGAAGGGCATGGGAGCTACCCCTCAGTATGTTTCTTTGCTATATTCGATAATGAAAATGAAAAGGGCATTTACGTCTTTTTGCAGTGACGAAACATTAAGAGCAAGTCGTCCCACCATGCTCTATCTTTTTCTAGAGCAAGTCGTTGTCCCACCTTGCTCTATCTTTTTGTCAGTGTCAGTGTCAGTGTCAGTGTACAGTGCCTTGACTATGTTTTCCATTTTTTGTGACAGTACTAAAAAGGTGTTACTGGACAATGGCCTCAGTGTACAAGTAAGTTTATTATTTTATACAAATCAAAAAATGTCCTATGTGTTTTTATTTTTGATAAATAATTTATTTGATTTTTAATATTGTGGATTGTTGTTCTAGGTGCCACCTCATGTTATAACAGGGGACAAGATACTTGTTGATACCACAGATAACTCATACATAAGCAGGTGTTTTTTTTTTTTAAATCATGGAGATTATATCATATGTTTCTTTGTTAATAATTTTTACTATAAGGAATTTGACACCATTTATAATATATTTTCTTTGTTTTTTAATAGGGCTTGAGCATTGGCATTGCAAAAAAGTTGGAAGTATTTTTGTAGTGAAATTTGTTCAATAAGTATGCAAGTGTTTTTGTGGTAGAGTTGATATTTGTTACCACGATGCATAGATATTTAATAGACTTTTTTTTTGTTATTTGTTGTTTTGAGTTATTTCATTGAAATGAAAACATAGGGAACTATATCACTATTTTCTTTTCATGAGATGCAAATCACATAATAACAAACAAACTAAAAATAAAATATAAAACAAACTTTAGTCACTTCTCATACAACATAGACAATAAATTGTGTTTCATGTCTTCATCTTCTGTTGACAAGTGCTCTTTTGCAACAAGTGTATTCAAAAGCATGAGATAAACCTTCTTAACCTTCCATTCTTCTTTTTTAACTTTTTCTTTCTTCCTTTATTTGCTCCAATTCAAGTCTTTTCCTCATGACTTATAAATGCAATGAACTTTCCACCATGTATGTTACTTTTATTGTTTCTTAATAGAATTTGAATATGTTGTTGGTAGCTACATTGGTCAAGCAAAAAGGTTGAAAATATATTTGTAGTGAAATTTACTTATGGATGGATAGAAAGAGGGAAAATAAGTATGTAAAGGGTTTTGGTCGTACTTTGTTATTTAACACCACAACGCATCGATATTTTGTTGTTGAGTCATTTTAGTGAAATGAAGACATTGGGAATTATATAATTATTTTGTTTTCCATAATACAAAATTATACATGAGATGCAAATCACATAATAAAATACAAACTAAACACAATATAAAACAAACTACAATTACTTTCGATACAACATCGACAATAGATGACGTTTCATGTCTTTATCTTCTGGCGACAAGTGTTCTTTTGCTAATAGTGTATTCAAATGCATGTGATACACCTTTTTACTCTTCCTTTCTTCCTTTTTGACCTTTCTTTCTTCCTTTCTTTGGTCCAAATCGAGTCTTTTTCTCATGATTTCAACTTCACTTTCTCTAGTAATCCTTATTGCATGAAGATCCATAACACATTCATTATGAAACAAAGAACATTTTTCTTTCTTTTTATACTCACGATTAATTGTTGAACCACCACTATTTGGTGTTTCTGTGTTGGATAGGAAACAATAGTCCCCTTCTTCGTTAGTCCTTATTCTTTTTGTGCTATCACCACTTTCATCATCTTCATGGGAAGGTGTGTCACTCTCATTTAGTAATTCCCACTTTGGATATTTACACATAACTTCATTAAATACAATAATGTCATTGTAAGTGCTCCCACATGTAGCATAAATTTTATGAGCTTCGTTCTCAATATCTTTCAGACTCATTTCACTTGTTTTCTGTTTATACGCTTTCCTATAGGCTTCAATCCACTTGATTGCATTTTCATTAAGCCGTTTCCAACGACCTCTCATTTGATTATCGTTTCTCAGGCCGAGTTTTTCTGGGTTTTCTGTCTGGGCTTCATTATATAATTTTTTAACTTGTGCCCACAATGATGTTTTCTTTTGATTTTTCCCATGAAATTGAAGTTCGTTGGCAACACACCATGCTGACATTAAAGCCATGTCTTCTTCAAAATCCCATTTATCGCCTCTTGCATTTTTTTCAAAAGTATTTTGCGACACTTCATGATTTTCGATTATAGGAACTTGGTTAACATCCGAAGAAAACTGAAAGTTTTCATAGTATTGAGAATTTGGATATTCATAAGAGTGAACAAAATTCATAAAAGATTTCGGATATTTTCGATCCACTTGAAACTATAAATTGCACATAATCAGAAATAAAGTGTTGTAGTTGTACATGAAGGCGTGTTAATATTAATTCTATTAAGTTATGTATATTGTGTTTTTTGTTAAATGAAAAATATCTAATTATGACAAGATAGATTTAAGACATTAACAAAAATAGCACATGATTTTGGAAGATTTAGGAAATTACCTTACTTTTGGATATTTGCGAAAATAACCGTTCCGGAATGATCATTTTGGATTTAAATTTAAATAAACATATAATGTATTTTTTTTCTCATTTGCTATAAAAAAATTTCTAATTGTACCCATTTTCAAAATTGAACTTTAAAATGTCTAATACAACCGATTTTTCAGCCAAATATATCTTTTATGCCCTTGTATCATACTCATTCGCTATGTTTTTTTATGTTTCTGTTAGATTTTAAAAGAAAAACAAAAAAATTCTCGAAATTTCAAATTTGTCCATCAGAATACTTTTTTCTCAATCCGAAATCCAAAATACAAAATTTGAGTCCCAAATGTAATTTTTTTTAGAAGAAATACTTTTAATATGATATAAAAATGATCCAAAATGCATCATTCAAGACATGATAACTATTTTGATAAAACTGAAAAAGGTAAAGTTGTTTTTCATATTCTAAAATTCCAATGGTCGTTTTTGTGAATAACATAGTCTTTGTTTAAGTTTTACCGATTTGGTTCGATAGTATTTCTCTCCTTTTTTTCCATTTTATTAAGTATTCATTTTGTTTTATATGCATCTTGGTTTGGTGATTTTCAGCACTAAACATAGCCTTCAAAAGTCAAAAAGTTCACCAATAAGTTTCAAATACCAAATCAAGATCGACCAAAAAAAATCATGCGAAATAATAGCAAATCCGATCTAACATGAGAACTAAAACCCACAGAATTGTCACAAAAAGAGCTCAAAAAACTTCATTTAATGAGAAGAATGCGCAGAATAAAGAACGAGCTACAAGGAGATCTAGAACCCTAAAACAAGTGTCACTAAATAGCTAAAGAAAACGGTCTTTTAACGATTACAAATCAAAATCAAGCAATAGTTTGGTGTGGATATAAGCATGTACCTTGATTGTATCGCCGGATTTGAAGATACAAGTGGTAAGCGTACCAGATGCTCCGCCGTTGACGGCGGGAATAACGGTAGGCCATACGCTGGCGACGGGCTCTGGTTTTACCTCTCCCATTTGGAGACAATTCCGATAAGATTGAAAAAAGGGAGGGAAAGAAGAAGGGCGAATGCGAGAGGGAGGGGTTGAGTTGGAGAAAAAACCCAAATAATTATCCGACGAAACGAATCCCTCCTTCGATGACTAGTTCATTTGGGGTTTTCTTATTCCATTTTTACATTTTTACATTTTTACCCCTTGGGTCATATGATGATTTGTTAATTGTTAGATGTAAAAAAACATAAATTTCGAAAAAACTAGTATACTGATTTTGGGAGAATTTCATAGGGAAATCTTCGGAAAAGTCCTAATATATCACCCTAATTTACGAAAAAGTCTCAAACTAAAATCGGTTTATGAAAAAGTCCCGACAACCGGAAAAAATGACGATTTGACCATTTTTTCCGGTTTATCGGTTTCAATACTTACCATAACTTTCATTAAAGTCTCATTATTTTACCATAACTTTCATTAAAGTCACATTAGTTTACCATAATTTGGGACTTATTCGTAAATTATGGTAAAATAATGGGACTTTATTAAAACCGGGTAAGTAATGAAACCGGGAAAAAATAGGGCCAAGTCGTCATTTTTACCGGTAATTTGGACTTTTTCGTAAACAAATTTTAGTTTTGGATTTTTTTCGTAAATTAGGGTAAAATATTGGGACTTTTCCGGATATTTCCCAATTTCATATATACCCTTATTAAACGTTTAAATATCGTATTTACCTAACTTAAATTCTAAATATTATATTTCCCTTCCTAATGTTTTAAAATATCGGATTTGCCCAAATCTATTTTTTAAACAGATTTTATTATTTAATAATCATTTTTTATAATTGAAAATTATTAAAATTGAGAAAATAATAAAAAAAGACAATAATACCCTTATCTAGACCCTAATACCCTTACCTATTCAAAATCGTAAATCGTAGGAATCCTTTGAGATGAGGTTTCTGGTCGTCTTCATAAGATCGCCGGTTAAAAACATGGCTTTTATCTTGTTGCCTATTGTTTTTGCCTGCGTTTTATCTCAGTCAATTACCATCTCAATCAATTACTTGATTCTTCTAAACCACCTCTAGTTTATCTGTTAAAGGTCTTCCCCCTTGATCGAAAAGGGTTAATACATGGTAACCACTACCACTATTCTGTCTTTTTCCCTTTCTTCTTCGTTCTGAAACTAAAATTGACATATACAATTTCAATTTTGTAGATGTTACACGAGTGATTTGTGAACTCGAGCTCACAATTCAAAAGCTTGAAAGTAATGACAAACCCATATGGAAAGGTCTTGGATCTCTTCTTTGTCACTGATCACTTGTAAGCCCTTTTGAAATCTTGTATATAAGTTGTGAAGTTAAGTTAGCAGGGCCTGGATATGAGAGCCAAAAGGGGTTTACTTCTATTTCAGAAGAAATTGTTGATGAATTGTTTAGTTGTCATCTTGCCACCAAGGAAGATGATCGTTCATAAGCTCTTAACAGACTTATTGGATGTTAAAAAAAATTGTTATTACGGTTGATAATTTAATGAGTCCATCTTATACTTTGCTTCAAATGCAATGCCTTGATCAGAAAGCTCTCACAATTTAAAGATCTCCAAGTACTGCAATATCCAGGTGTATATACTCAAATTGACTTCACAATACTATTTTATTTTGTTTGATGTTTGAAATGAATATGTTATCTTGTTTTTATTCAGATTGCATATGGAAGAATCTCTAATAGTGTGAAAGGGTACCGAAGCTTGTTAGAGAAACGGGATATAGATAAACTTGGATCAGTGAGAGTTGTGAAACACTTTCAGATTAAAGCATTTCGAGGGTACACTTAAAATCTCTAATCGGATGAAACTCACTGTTTTCTAGAAATGGAGAATGAAGAAGGTGTTATGAAAATCTATACTCAAAATGAATCCGAAATTGATCATATAACAGAAACTAACTTCCTGTCCTAAAACTGTCATATGGTAGTTATAGAAAAACAACTTCCTGTCCAAAAACGGTCATATTACCTGTCAAAAAACTAACATAAAATTGGGTCTATAAATGGTTCACAAAACTAGGTGTTTTTACAAAAAATACGGATTTCTGAAACATTTTTTATATAGTAACCAGCCAGGGGCTCTGCCCCTTGGACCCCGCTCCCAGGGGTGTTGCCCCCGGACCCCCGTCAGTTCAGGGGCTTCGCCCCTAAATAGCAGTATACTTTCAACAATGACAAAATCAAACAAATGTGCACTCCGCACCATACTAATTTGTTCGATAATTGTCAAAGTGACATTGATCAACAAATTAACCCCATTACACTTAAATAATATTAGTGATATAAAATCACCAACAAACCTCCCCCATTTAAGTGTAATCTTGATTAACTTAAAATAAAATCATAACAACAACAAACTGATGCATAAATGAGATAGTGTGACGATTGGATTTCACATTAGTATATTATTCATTCAAAATATTCGAATATCAGGGTGTCACTAAGGATTGAACCCTTTCTATTCTAAGTGAATACATGAAGATAATATACACAACAGTTTTCATGCTCAAAGTTCTAACTTGACACCATATTTTACTAGCTTGTGTCCCATCCTTCAATAAGCATATCAAAGCCAAGTCCCAACTTCTTGAAGCAGCTAAACTTCATGCTTATATAGGTAGTTCTTTTGTTCTTGCACCTGCAAATGCAATTTTTCAAAGAACTATTAAGAAATAAAATTTCAACCTCCTTAACTTGCAGTACTGAACACATACATTGGGATGATCATAAAATGTGTTCCAATCTTCAAATATCAAGCTTTCCACATTGAATTCAACATCTAATATTGCATTAGATGGGAATTGGGTATCTCAATATAAAAGATTTTAAGTGGACTTTAAACCCATCCCTACAGCCGCCTTGTGCACAAGATCTCTTGCTAACCCTTTGGTTAGATGATCGGCTAAATTCAACTGAGTTTTTACAAACTCCACAGATATCGCACCAATCATGATGAGCTCACGAATCATGCTATGTCTAACACCTAAATGTATAGACTTTCCATTGTACACTTGACTATAAGCCTTAGCCAAGGTTGCAGCACTATCACATCTGATAGAAATGGTAGATATCGGTTTGGGCCACAATGGAATTTCATAAATCAAATTCCTTAGCCACTCAACTTCTTTACCAGCAGCAGACAAAGCAACAAACTCAGACTCCATGGTTGAGTTAGTAATACAAGTCTGTATCTTAGATGCCCAAGAAATGGCACCTCCTCCAAGAAGAAACACCCAGCCACTAGTAGAGGAGTGATCCTCTAAGTTGTTAATCCAGCTGGCATCTGAATAACCTTCCAAAACAGAAGGATATCCACTATAAGTTAAACCAAAATTTATGGTCCCTTTTAAGTACTTGAATACTCTACTCACAGCTTGCCAATGATGTGTACTATGATTACTAGTATATCTACTAAGCCTTCCCACAACATATGTTATATCAGGCCTAGTACTAATTATGGCATACATTAGACAACCAATAGCCCTAGAATATTCAAGTTGAGACACTGGAGATCCTTTATTAGGTAGAAGTTTGAGACTAGGATCTATAGGAGTGCTAACAGGAGAACAATTCTCAAAGTTAAACTTTTCCTATATCTTCTCAATGTAATGAGATTGAGAAATTGAAATCCCATTGTTTCCTTGTTTAATTCTTATACTAAGAATTACCTCATCCTCCCCCGGGTCTTTCATTTCATAACTAGATGATAAGAATTTCTTGGTTTTATCAACTTCTTCTAAATCAGTACTAAAAATCAACATATCATCCACATATAAACAAATCATGACTCCTTTACCAGAAGTATCAAATTTTCTATATACACACTTTTCAGCTTGGTTTAATGCAAAACCATTAGACAATACAACATCATCAAACTTTTGATGCCATTGTTTTGGTGCTTGTTTCAAACCATATAATGATTTCTTCAACTTGCACACTTTGTGTTCATTTTCAGGCATCACAAACCCTTCAGGTTGTTTCATGTATATTTCCTCATCCAAGTCATCATTCAAGAATGCAGTTTTCACATCCATTTGGTGAATCACAAGATTATGTATAGCTGCAAGAGCTAATAATAATCTAATAGTGGAAATTCTGGCAACAGGAGCATAAGTATCAAAGAAATCAATGTCTTCCTTTTGTCTAAAGCCTTGGATAACCAATTTGGCTTTATACTTATCAGTTGTGCCATCCACCTTCATTTTTATTTTGAGGATCCATTTACATCCTAATACCTTGCAACCAGGAGGTAAATCAGACAATACCCAAGTATTGTTATGCATTATAGAATCAATTTCATCCTGAATTGCTTCTTTCCAGAAATGAACATCCCTAGAAGCCATAACTTCACTAAAAGTCTTTGGATCCTCCTCAATATTAAAACAATATTGATGTTGACATATAGTCTCATTCCTTGTTCCTTCAACCAGATAAAGTTGAAAATTAGATCCTTAGCTTTTCTAGCTCTGGTGTTTTTCCTAGGTTCAGGTGCAGAACTTGCACCACCAGAAACATCTTCGGCTTGAGTAGTACTCTTGCAGGAAGATTGATGAATCATGTCCCTTGGTCTAGGTATAGATGTAAATCTTTCTTCATCAAAGATAACATCTCTTGACTCTATCACTGTGTTTACAGACACAGAGTCATTAGATTATAAAACATAGAATCTATATGCTTTGGAATGCTCAGCATATCCAATAAAGATACAATCTATACCTCTCTCACCTAATGTTTTCCTTTTGGGTTCAGTAAGCCTTATAACTGCTCTACAACCCCAAACTTTGAGATAACTCAAATTTGGTAGCTTTTTACACCAAAGTTTATAAGGAGTATTCTTACTCCTTTTATTTGGAGTTCTATTCAAGATGTAACATGCAGTTAACATTGCCTCACCCCAAAACCCTTCATTTAAACCAGAATATGACAACATGGAATTAACCATTTCTTTCAAAGTCCTATTCTTCCTTTCAGCTACACCATTTTGTTGTGGTGTATATGGAGTTGTGGTTTGATGTATTATTCCGGTTGATTCAAAATAAACTGGATCATAATACTCACCATCTCTATCAGTACACAATACTTTTAT